AACTGAAAAAATAAAGCATTATGCATTGATCTCCCTTAATCAATGTGATGGGCACACTGGCTAACATCAGGGATGAGGGGTGATTTCAGCTCCTATGACCAGTTTTGTTTGTCTAGCAAAGGCTGAAAATAGCAAAGGTTGGGAGCCAGCTCCCCTGCCTGCTGCGTGGGGCTGAAGAGAAAGGCTGGTGAGGGAGGTTACAGGCTCCTACTGGCTGCAGCCGTTTGGTACCACTAGACTACAAACTCTCCTGAAGAAGGTGGGGAAACGAGGAGGGAGACTGTTCTGCCCAAATCTGCTGCTTGAACAGTTGTTCTCTGTCTCAGCCAGGGAAAAGGCAGTTGGCCAGATCTGACTTGCTGGCCATCTGTTGGACCACACTAAATTAAAGTAAAATGCCAGCAGTGGTTTTGTTGGGCAGGTTTGTGATAACATACCACTGAGTCACTTTGCACAGGCAAGAAACTTTCAGCCACAGGATGAGTCAGGATATGAAACCCTGACTTCTGAAGAGGCAAGAAGGAAGCTGCCCAGGGCTAGCATCTCTAAAAGACTGAGCCATGGTGCCTTGCTATTTCTCAGTTACAGCTGGCACAGAGTGCTGATTTTAAATTCCTCCATTACAATTCTCTTACCATTTCTTAGAGAATCAATCTTTGTAACTGCTGTTTCATTTTGGCTAAAACATAAGACTGAAGCATTTTATATTTCATAATGTTTCCATATAATTTAGTGGATCTAAGCAGGCACATGCATCACTGACATAGGTAGAAGCAGATACAGATATTAGCTGTACTGCACCCAGCAGTGGCCTCCTGAGTACTCACAAACTCAGACTGTGAACCAGACTAGTCACACTGACATATGGACAATATCACCCTGTGGTCACACTCCGCTGGCACAAACCCGAACTGGCGCCAATGATGCAGCAATCACTTTAGCACTTCTTGAAGTGAGATGTTACAGATATTTTTTTAAGACAGTTGTACAGACAAAGGGTTCCTGGCTTTGCTACAGCACAGGAAGGTGCGCTGCAGTCTACATCAGCATCAGTAAGAAACATTTGCAAGGTCAAAGTTATCCTAACAGCAATGGCACTGAAAATAAATACCCCAACAAAGCCAGCCAAGCTTACAGCTGTCTTTAGGAACCACATAATAATATTAACAAAATTAATTTGCACAGCCAGACTTCTCAGATGATAAATGGGGACCCAGAATGAAAGCATTTATCTAAAGTACATAGCTACAGATGACACACACATCAGGGGGGCTCCATGTCAAGCCTCCTGGGAACAATCTGCCCTTACCGCTTCCTTCTGCGTTTTGCTGTTTGCTCTTCTGCAATCATCTTATTCCTCTCCAGTTTCTTCTGGAATTCTTCGTCTAGTTTTTGCTGTAATTGATCACATGTTACACTTTGGTCACAACCTGAATTAAAGTACTTCTTTCCGAAGTATGTCCTTTTTGGGAGAAGTCTTTTAGCAAAATACAGAAGGGAGCTTTGTTTGCCAGACTTTGTCTGGCTTCTTTTTTTAATACTAAAGTCATGCTCCTAGGGATCACACCTATCCAGACAGCATTTTTCACCTACAGCATGCACAAAAAAAAAAAGAAAAAGAGAGACTTTGGGCTTCTGCCCTACAGAATACTCCAGCAAAAGCAATAAAATAATTTGAATAAAAGCAATAAAATAATTTGAGAGACATAAACATTAATGTATGAATCAAGGGACTCATCTCGGCCAAGACGGAGTAACAGTAACAGTCTCTGAAAAATGGTGTTCTACTATGGGACTAATAGATAGTCAGAAGACATAGAATCATACAACCATAATAGTTGGAAAACACCTTTAGGATCAAGTCCAACCTTAAATCCTTTGTGCACATAAACTTGCTTTGTTTCTGTCTATGCAAAATATAAGTGATATTAGGGATTCCCTTTCATTATTAGAGACATTTCCGTTAGTTTTTAAACTAGCCAGCATGAGAACAAAAATATATTTCGTACTGTTTTTTGTGCTTAAGGCATTTTGTCCATGTCTTAGCTAGGGCCACAGCTGAACAAAGATGACGAAACATGCCTGATATATGGTAGTAAATGCTTCAGTGCCAACACAGACACCTCATATCACATATTCCTACACCGCTTTCCTCTGATCGAAGGCAGTTTGGAACTGAATTCTAAGCACGATTTAAAAAAAAAAAAAAAAGGAACAAATACCAAACAGAGAATAAATAAACAAACAAAAAACAATTCAGAGCCCTGATGACCTTCTCAGCCATGGCATCCATGAAATCTTGCCTCTGGTACTCTCGCCGACGAAGATGCCGGTACACGTGAAACTCCCCACTGCCAGCTCCAGCACTGGAACCTACAACAGAACAAGGGTAAGTCTGCTAGAAAATAATAGATACTAGATGTTCACAAGTGACTACAGCTAGGTGCTGAGGGGCAGGACATACTAAAGGGCACTGAAAGATGAAAATCAGCTGGGAACAGCGCGCAGAGCACATCCCTATTTTTTATAAGCTCAAACCTATACACAAAACACAATCAAAAGCCCAAGTGAGTTACAAAACCACACCCTTATGGGTCACTGTAGTTTGTAATAGACAATACAAATACCAAAACATCAGCTACTTCCTCTTAAAGAGAATTCAGACTTCACAGAACATCCAGACAGTAAAAGAATCACAGAAATTAAGCTTGCATCCCATTTTCCTCTAGATAGAGGCCAACTAAAACATCCTGCTGAGGCTGTTTATCACCTATTTTCAACATCCCTTATAAAAGTTAAGGTCAGCAAAAAGGTGAGAAAACCCACCATTCTACTTTTTTCCATGCAAGACAAATGACAGTGACGGAGTTTATAACCTCTAGTCCAAGATAAATTATTCTGAAACAAGAATAGATTCTATAAGATTCTAAAAATAATCACTAATAGGGACAAAGGTCCCAAATAAAGAACCTACACATGCAGATACAATTTATATCACAAATAGTGAACATAATCCAAGTCACTTTGTCCCCAAAGATAAAACTGAAGTGTCACCAAAACACTTCAGTTGGGTTCCTTGCGCAGATGTGAGCTCCCTACTGACTATATACAAACATGCACAAGTTTGTTTCTCACTGACCAGGATCTGAACATAAAGAAATCAAAGCTAGGGCATCATAATTCTAATTTTCAGAAGACTTGCTGAACTAAGGAAAGGACAGATTTACGTATGCCTTGTCCTTCACAGATATAGCAGCAGCACAGGTTGCACGTGGTGGATGTGGTGCCTTTGGCACAGCTCACTTTGCATCCTGGCAACAAGCAAATGTGAACCTCAAGAACCAAGAAAACTTGAAAAATCAACTTGAAAAGCACATTTCACACCATTCTTCTCTAGCAAAATGAGCAACAACAGAGAACAGTTTCTACCTCTTCTGTCAAATACTTCTCTAGGCTTTCCCTAGCGGTTTCCTACACTTATCTGAAGTACAATATCTTTACCCATCACATCTCTAACGAACTCCGGGGGAGGTCGTGGGGCCCATTCATTCAGTTTTTCAGGAATCGGTACAGTCTTTTCCTGCAAAAACAAACTATAAGACGTTAGTATCTTCGAGGAGCCAAGCGTGCAAGTTTAACACATTGCTGAAAGGCGGCAGGTGCACGACAACAGACTCTTCCCCCAGCTGACAGGTCTCAGTACAAGCAGAGCTGTAGTAATTTCTTCATGCACAGGGATCGGGAGCACGTAGAAAAACAACAGCCACCAGGCGTCCTCCCCCATTCCCTGCAATCCAGTCCCACAAATCAACACACCCTGGGAGCATTAGAAGGATCGGCATTTATTTTCCTTGTGGGAATCTGAGCAGCTAAATTAGCACCTCCGTAGAAAGGTGTGGAAACCAGCTACATTCCCACCAAAAATGCTCCAGGAAGAGACGAAAGGAACAGGGCACCTTCCACCTCTGCCGCAGGGACTGTTGAGAGGGGAAGGGAAAGCTGAGAGCCACAGTGCAAAAACGGGGCAAAAGGAGGGCTCTGCGCAGAGGGAGGCCAAGACTCATTTGGCAAAACCCCCTCCTCCTCCAGACAAGGGTCACTGAAACCAAGCTGAGGATCTGGGGTCCAGCCTCGTGTGTCAACGTCCTGGTTTCCCATTAAAAGCACGGGGCTGCGGGGGGACCAGACGCCGGAGCGCACCGGGAGCACCCGAGCCCTGGGGTGCCCCTCTGCCCTCATGACAGCCCGCAGAGCGTCATGAGGTGTCACGGAGAGGGGTCTCTCCTCTCCCCTCATGGCACCTGAGGCGCAGGAGGGGCTTCCTCCTCTCTCCACACAACAGGGGGCGGGGAGGGGGCGCCTCTCCCTCTCCCCTCACGGCCGCCGGGGCCGGGCAGCGCGCGCCCTCCCTCACCGGGTTCCTCATGAGGCGCTCGAGGCGGACGCGCTGCTCCTCCGCGGCCGTGCGCGGGATGAAGA